ATGTTAGAATTAGGCATACACAGTAGACTATGCCTTTTTTTATTTACCACTGTAAAAAAATGAGTGTGGGGCGGGGAAAGCCCGTGAGCACTGCATATTTTAAGCCTAAAAATACAAAATTTTATGTTAATGCTCGTGTCCGCAAAAGCCCGCGAAGATAACGGGACGAAACGAGGCAGTCATGTTAGAGGGCGAGGGCCTAAATTCTTGGCCCGTCGCGCATTAAAGTGCGGGCAAAACGAGCATGCTCAACGGGCCAGACCTGTTTTGCCACCCCTAATATTAGGTACCAATATTTATGTTATATAAAAATAAAAAACTATGCTGCAACCCCATTCTACCCAGGAACGAACCCCTAAATCAATTTTCTAAGTGTTTCGGATATCCATATCCGAACGAACCCCTAAATCAATTTTCAAGGTGTTTCGGATATCCATATCTGAAAATATTATAGAATGTTTAAATCCAACATTCAAATAATAATAATAACGTGTAAACAGAAGGTATTAAGATATGTATCTCTGAAAATTTTTGATAATTAATTTAGAGATTCGTTCGACTATGCACATTTAAATGATATTTTAGAGTTTTCAAAACTTTTTTCACCCATATGAAAGTATATTAAGAAATTTCGTAACTAAAACCTCCACTTATTCAATAAAAGAAAATGAAAATCAACCAAAGTAGATATGCGGCTTTTATACACTTAAATACTAAAGATTATAAAAATTATTATTAATATCTACAATTGCAAAAATTTTATAAAAATTAAATAACAGAGCGAAACGAATGGCTCGTTAAAAGATGCAAAATTTTAACTGCTTTACAATACCAACATGCAGGCTAAATAAAAGATTTTTGAACCAATTTTACCTGAATTGTGAATGAAGGAGTATAAGATTAGCTAACTAAATTATTTATGTAAATATCTGATTTGACTCGGCAGTTTTTTTTTAATTTTTTATTATTATATAGTCTGATTCGAGAGTCAATTTTAATAAAATAATTTTAATTTTCTTTCATACAGAGGATTAAACTGTGATCTTTCCTATTAAATTTAGTATTATTCATTACTGAACTAATTAATAATTGATAAGTTGACTACATAGTTTTATTTATTTCTTTTTCTTTATCTTGAATTCGCGCGTGGAGAAAGTGATGAATGCTTGAATTTGTTGGTACAAAGGATAATTGAGCGCCTTTCTTACTGCCACGTCTTTTTTGGTGTGACTATAACATAACAGCCACATATTTTTACAAGTCAATTTCTCGTTATTTTTCTTTATTTGGAATATTATTCTATAAATGGATTATTCGTGGCTCCTACTTCTGTCACGTCAATTTCTCTTAAAACAAACACGCGTTCTATGAAATAATATCTTATTCCTTCCAATGATTTTCTTTCCCACAAAATTTTTCAGTTGTTTTCTTTTTTGCTTTACTTTTCTTTGTCCACGTGTACACAACACGTCACTTTCAGTTTCCACTTTCACTGTTTAATAAATTTTCCGACATTTTCCATTTTTATGCTTTTTATATTTCTAACCGGAATTTTTTTCCGACGTTACCACCGTGCCGGAATTCTCCTTCCACCGTAGTCTTCTTCTCCTTCAAAGGTTAGTTTCCTATTCCTTTATTTTTGTTCGATAAATGCTTCAAAACTCATAATCACTCATTTTTTGTTGAAAACCCTAAATTTTAATTCTCCTGTTAAAATCTGAAAATACACCATTTTGTAATAGATAGTGGAGTGTTTTGTAATAGAAATGAAAACAAAACTGGGTTGCTTAACCTTCGTGATTTGGTACTATTTGAGTAGTCCTTTGTTGGTTTATATTTGTTTATTTGTTTCCTATTAAATATAGGATGCTAAGTGCTATCTTAATAAAGAGTGGAAATATTATCGAGTAGTTTTAAATTTAAAAAGTTGGACAACTCGGTCAGATTTTAACCTTCTGAAATACATGAATTTATGTTGCTTCCTTTTAAATCAGAACAAATGAACTACTAAATCATTTGAATAAGTAACCTTTTAACTTAGCTTCTGTTCATTCATACTTTAGAGTCTAGAACAATATATACTATGTTGACAAAACCTTTCAATCACCAGTGTTGTTAAATATCGGTTATATCGCCGATATACCAGGTTTTTCATATCGGAATTTGGCTATCCGATACGAAAGACAATATTCCATATAAATAGTAGAGGTGCACACTAATAAAGTGGAAATGTGAAGAGGTGTGTGGGTATTATTAACATATTCTGATTGTTAGTCTCGAAAATAGAAAAAGAGAATGTGAAGAGGTGTCATATATATTAATGAGTTGGTGTGATTATTTGTAGGAGTCAGAGTGCCTCCATCACCATAACTTTCTCTTCACTTGATTCATTCTTCACATTCTTACAATGAGGATAATGATTATGTTGGGAAAATGGAGAATAATTAGATCTTTATCACTAGTTAATGCTTAGAAGAACTAATATTAGTTATTACTTATTTTGAAGTTTGAACTATTTAATTTTGAGTTTTAAGTCATTTTGATTTTGAAGTTTGAACTACTTGGTTGTTAGAACTTGAGATTCCAGTTTAATGTTAGTAAACTTTTTTAATATTTGTTTATGTTAGTAGCTTTTATATGTGTAGGCAATGTTTTATTTTACATATAATTATTTATTTTAACCGTTTTGTGGTTTCCGCCATTTGCCCGATACGATATCCGATATTTCTTATATCGGTTTTTTGGTGATCCGATATTTTCCACGATCCGCTATTAACAACACTGTCAATCACACACCATTGTTGTGTTTTTTGTCCTTAATATGATTCTCATCCCAAGTCCTTTATTTATTTCAGGCATGGAGACACTGGCCTAGATCATTGCATTGTCAGGAAATTGGTGAGTTAGATCTTAAACAAGTAAAGTGTGATATCATTCATAATAAATGGTATTGATAAAATGACACTGTTGTTTATTTTAGAAGAGTGAATTTCCATGCCATGGTTTAGAAATTGACTTTGAGTGTGTCCTTTTATTTTATTAAGTAGATTGTGAGTTTGTTCCCATCATAGTGCTTATTGTTGATTGCCGAAAAACGAAAAACCAGTGGCGGAGCCACGTTGGGATAGGGGGTGGCAAGCCCCCCCAAAAAAAATATTTTTAATGAAAAAAATAGGTATAATATGCTATTTTAAATAATATAGTTTCTTTTATATTTATTAACCACGCAATATAAGACAACTAAATTCCTTTGGCCAAGCCGTAAGCGTGACGCGTTGAAATTAGTGAACAAACAAGGTTGTGGCATCAATTCCTTTGAGTCAGTCTTTTGGAAAAAATTTACCTTTTTTTATTAATGTTTACTTTATTTAGGCAAAAATGTGGCCATCAGGGGTAGAATGCATGTTTTAAAGCTTAAATTCTAAAATCTTACCACTACAGCATAATGAAACTAATAACAAGGATTTGCAATAAAATATATCTCCATTTACATATATTTAAAAAAAAAATCGGCCCCCTCAATGTTTTCAACCTAGCTCCGCCACTGCGAAAAATGTGAGAATATTTAGGAGTGTGTTGAAACCAAATTAGAGTTAATGCAAAATGGACAGAGATTGTGTATCGCTAGCTAAACATGAAGTTGAAGTAGACATTGGCGAATAACTAGATGACATGATTAGTGATATTGGTTAAAAGTCTTTTCAACAACATATGTATGATACTTTGCTGAGCAGTGACACGAAATAGCAACAACAATATTTTTCACCGGTTTTCAATGGTGTTGAGGTTGTTCAACTTGAGGTCAAAAAAATAGGTTGATGGACAAAAGTTTCAATGAAATTTGTAACTTGTTTAAAGGCATGCTTTCAAAATCTAATACATTGTCATATTGTAATCATGAGTAGAACAAGATTTTTTGACTGATGGATATCAAGTATAAGTAAATATGAGTATGATGTCTCTTGGTGTGGGGTATTACACATCAAAGTGAATGGTGTTGATTCTAAATGTGATATGATCATCTAGGATCCTCCTTGGAAGGTTATGATATCTTCCAATAATTCTAAGGTTAAAGGTTAAAGTGATTGTTCGCAAATATAAATGATGCAAAGAACATTAGATAGTGTGCAAAGAGATGTCAATGGACATTTTCACACTCGGATTGATTCTTTGCAATGGAAAAAGATTAGATCTTTGTTTCTAGATTTTGACAATGTGCCAAAAAGCCTTAAGCTTGGGCTTTCTACAGAAGGAATGAATGTAGTAACCATAGATCATGGACTCATTCTGCTTATAATATACAAATTTTCTACTTTGTTGTGCATGAGAAGATATTCATTCAATGGTCAAAAAGACTTGTGGAGATTATTTCAGGTAAAATATTAGTTACTTAATATATTTTTGGATTTACACTTGGAATTGGAAAGAATATAAAAATGCTGAGAATGTTTTATCTTAATTATTTGGGGTTGATATTGACAGATCCATAAACTAAGATGTTGCACCAAAAAGATTCCAGTCTCAACTTTATTTTGTTCAACAATTGGTTTTAAAGGCAACACTGCAAATAATTGAATTCGAATATTGTGGAACGTTTCTTTTGGGTTCTCACATAGAGATATTGTGGAGCTGTGTATAGTTAAACAAGAGCTATATGGATATCAACTCACCAATTGTGGTTGACATAAGTACATCTTATTGTCTTTCCAGAGAAAAGAGGATTAATTGGGTTTCTTGGTCGAAGGTGTGTTAATCGAAAGTGGAGGGTAGTCTGGATATTAAACACTGAGATCTTCAATGTCGCTTTTCTTAGTAAATGGGCCTGGAGAATTGTCGACAAGCAGAATTCCCGATGGTCTCCAGCTCTTATCATTCAAGTATGTAGATATTAAAAGTCTCTCGCTCAATCCAACTAAACCCTTTGCAGCAAGAAAATCATATATTTGGTGGCGTGATATTCGAAGCATTGTCGCAACATCGTAAATGGAAGAATGTTTGTTTCAAAAAGAAATTTCTTGTAAATTTGGTTCAGGAGCAGAAACAGATTTTTGGAGATTCAAATGGTTTGGACCCCAACCCCTCAAGGATTTATTCCCTGCAGTTTTCGATTTAGCCAGTGACCAAAGGATGATGGTTTGCAATGCAGGTTCGTGGTCTTCTGATTGTTGGACTTGGAATTTAGGAATCGGTTCAGCCTTCACTTCTGCTGAAATGCGGGAACAATTGCAGGACCTGCAGAATATCCTTGTAAATACTTCACCTGATCCGATTGCTGTAGATTCTGTTACTTGGTGGCGGGAACCGTCCAGATTTTCGGTTAAAGCTGCGTAACAAATCTGTCTCTGCTATGTCGTCTCCAGATTTTGGGCTTGCAGGACCTGCAGAATATCCTTGTAAATACTTCACCTGATCCGATTGCTGTAGATTCTGTTACTCGGTAGCGGGAACCGTCCAGATTTTCGGTTAAAGCTGCGTACAAATCTGTCTCTGCTATGTCGTCTCCAGATTTTGTGCTTGATGTGAAACTGTCAGCTGCTTTAGATCTGTCGTGGTGTGCTTCGGTTCCAAGTAACATACATTTTTTCACTTGGAGACTTTTACTGAGGAGGCTTCCAACAAGGGATGAAGGGATGAATTGGCCCATCGAGGTGTTCTTGTCGGTGTCCATAATCTGGTGTGTCCTATAGGCTTTGGTCAAGCCGAGGACCTTGACCATTTATTCTCGTTATGTCTGGTTGCGGCGTGTGTTTGGTGATTGCTATTACTCATAGGCTGTCACAAACGGATATTTTGTCTCATTTGATTGACTTTCACAAAAAATGCCGTCTCCTTCATTGGTTGTTCGATTGCCTGAGCTATTTGGTTGTCTGAGAAATGATACATTATTTAAAGGGGCTCATTATGGGTATGCTGATATTGTAATTTTAGCCAAGAGACTTGCTTGGGATTGGTTATGTGCCAAATATTTTAGGCCTTTGGATATAGAGCGGGAGGATTGGTGTAGGAATCTTATAGAAACCAATTGATATAGACAAGTAAATAGGAAATTTGGTTACAAAATGATAATCGCAAAAGTTCAAGGGTCTTTAACTTCCCAATGCTAAAATGGCTCCTTTCCAATCAAATTCTCAGATATCCTCTCTTTCAATTACCTCCTCTATTTATAGGCAACACTCTAGTTATCCTAATTAATTAATTTCAATTCTAAAATTGCAGTTATGACAGTTATTGCAGATATAATTATAGTTATCTTTAATAAAATTGCTTATTAATAATAAAATTACTTCCTATCAACTAACAAGAGCTTTACAATCCTAATTAAGGGTTCGTATCTAAACTATCACCTTGTCCTTAAAGTGATTACAAGAGAAAGAAATAAAAACCAATTACAAAACTAATTTACTCATATTGACATTAAAATCAAGTGTTTGCACCATCTTGCAGCCTAATTTAGTCTCTAGGATCCCACGGTTTGGAGGACAGATTATTAAACATTTTGGAAATATTGCAGTGGCATTTGTTGGCCTTCCTCTCAAGAATGGTGAATGTGGTGAAACTCTTTTTTGTCGTTGTGCGACAGATAGCAACACTTTTGTCTGGCAGTTGCATCAGTGGAAATACAACCAACATGCAAGAAATTTCTTTACTCTTCTCGGCCACAGACCCTTCCTGTCCACCGATTAGATTTCCGTTCGGTGGTTCTTCTTTCACAGACAATTTTGTTTTCTTGATAATACTCTGTTGCATGCCACCAATTTTCTCTTTTCGCTTACCTTTATTCACTTTTTCTATTAACTTTGAGCGATCCAAAACAACAAATTCATGGTCTCCTTTTTTATTAGAGTTCTCTTTGCTCATTCTTTTTTTACCCTGGATATTATGTTTTCTTGAAACTTTCTTTGATTCCACTTCTTCATTCTCCATTGAATTAGTTTCTGGCCCAAATTGCTTGATAATTGCCTCTGTAAAATCTCTCCAAGTAGAAAATGGGTTGGCTGACACCTATAATTGGTACCATGCGATGGCCCTACCACTTATCCATTGCACAACTTTTGGTATTTGATCTTCTTTACGTGCACCTCCTGCATCAAAATATTTCTCAACTTTGGTCATCCATCCAACAACATGCCTTCTTTCAGAGATTGGTATTGCTAGTCGTAATTCTTTGAGTTCTCTTCTCCGATCTCTAAGTTCTTTCAACACTTCATCAAAAATACCAAACATTTCTTCCATTCTAGATGACAAATCCATTTCGTTTCTGATTTTTTTTTAATAAATTTTTTGTCCCAGATCAGAAGTGTTTTGATATCAGTTGATAGAAACTAATTGATATAGACAAGTAAATAGGAAATTTGGTTACAAAATGATAATCGCAGAACTTCGAGGGTCTGCACCTCCCCAATACCAAAATGACCAATTTTCAATCAAATTCTCATATATCCTCTCTTTCAATTGCCTCCTATATTTATAGGCAACACTCTAATTATTCTAATTAATTAATTTCTATTCTAAAATTGCAGTTATGACAGTTACTGCAGTTACAATTACAATTATCTTTAATAAAATTGTCTATTAATAATAATACTGCTTCCTATTAACTAACAAGACCTTTAAAATTCTAATTAAGGACTCGTATTTGACTCTAACAGAATCTAAACCTTTGTATCAGTTAAATTTTCTAGAGGTCTTAGTATTTATATTTCCCTCTCTGTTGTATTTGGGTTGATATCCCTGATACTCAATATTAATATAATTTTTTGCCTTATTGTAAAAATAATCCATCATGGATTGTTCCCATTGTAAATTGTGTAGAACATGTTATTATTAGTTATGAAAGTTACTATATACAATATCTACCCATTAAATTCACATTTTATATTCATTTTTATGTACAGCAGGTGAAGTTCAACATCTAATTAGCTTAATGTCAAAACACTTAACTCCCTTTGACATTTCCTACTATTATAATTACAAACAAAGAAATCATTAACAATATGATCCCTTAAGATAGTGGAATAAAGAACTGTCATATTGCAATATCTAAAAAGGCACGTGATGTTGGTTAGTTACTTTCACAGAAAAGCTACCCAAGAAAATGATATCTTTCTCAATTTCAATTATGTATATATACATTATTAAACAAAGGTTCATGCAAGAAAATTTTCATTCTACAATCCAAAAAAACGTTACAGTACAAACAAATTTCCATTCTAAAATCCAAAAATAAAAGCAAAGAAATCAAAGAGAAAAACTCCATAGTGAGACCTCAACATCTTCAAAGTCTGTATTAATATCTTGATACTCAAACTCATGGCCGAGGCTGTGTGTAGGGGACAGCAGCGCCATATTTCTCAAGGATTCTGGAATGTTCAACACTTCCTTCTCTTCTTCTTCTTCCATACGAAACATAAGCCGCTCCTCTGTGGCAGCGGATGTGGCTACAGAAGTGTCAATATCATCGGTAGTTAAAGCCTTATCTGGTATGAAAATCTTGTCTGGTCTGAAAGCCTCGGCAGCTAGTGCAGCCGCCTTTTGTATACCTTTTGTCTCGGTGCTGGCGGGAACAGGAAGTAGCCACGCCGAGTCTGCAAAGTTGAGACAGGCGTTGCGACCTCTCAGTGCTAATGCCGCGACGTCATGGGCTCGGGCAGCCATCTCGGCAGTGGGAAAAGTCCCTAACCAAATTTTAGTCTTCTTGTTGGGCTCTCTCATTTCACAAACCCACTTATCTAAGTTCCTCCTCCTCACACCCCTGAACACTGGGTGGCGAGTCTCCTTGAACTTCTTCCTCCCTGCACGTTTCTTCGGTGTACTCGCCGCTAATCGCACCTCCTCGTTGAAAACTGGCATCTCAGGAGAGATTTCTAAATTTGGTAATGATATGTTGGAAGAAGTGGAAGGGTTGTTAGTTGGAAACATAATTGTGTGTTGGAGAGAGTATAAAAAGGTTCTGAAAGTGAAACTGAGGGTTGAAGATAGAGTTGTTGGTGTAAAGAGTATGAAGAGTGAGTTGTTGTATATATAGGGAACCATGGTCGAAGGAAAGAGGTAACAGTGTGAAATTGTTTGTGAGTGTGTGATGTTCTGTGTGAGTGTGGGAAAGAGGTAACCGTGAGAGTGTTTTGTGTGAGTGAAGATATTTTGTAAGTAATGAGACAGCTGGTATGGTTTGCCTAGTTGGAAGATTTGTGATTGGATATATATTTGGAAAAGAGAAAGGGAAAGTGATGATAAAAAAAGACATAGAGACCCCACACAAGACTCAAAAAGAGTAATAAAGTTATCCATATAGTATCTTCTAAGTCATTAAATCATGTTTTTTATCCTCAAAGTAGACTAAATAAGGTTATTAAAAGCAAACATAGGACTATACTATTTATAGATTATAATAAAATATTTATTTTTATGGTCTTTAAAAAATTTTATTAGAGAAACATTGAATAATCAATTTTATCTATTTCATATAAAAGTTAAATATATTAATTATTTAATATAATTAAAAAATAAAAAAATAATGATAAAAATTGGAGGAAGTATATTTACACAACCTTTAAATTAAATAAAAAATATAAACAGTCAAACCATTATGATTTAACAAAAGAGTCTTTAGAAAAAAAACACTCTGCTTTTATTTTTTTTTTTGATAAATTGTTTAAAACTTTTCACATGTATTAAAAAAATCATTTATTATTATATAAAAAAAGAGAAATTATCAAAAAAATTGTAATATTATTTTTTAATAACTGTATGAGAAAGATAAATAAAATATTTATTAATAGTATCGTCAGTTTAATTATAACTTCCATTTATTTGTCATATAATATCGTCAATTCAATTGCTATATCTATCTACATGTCATGTCATGCAGTGTCGTTAATTTAATTGTTGTTTTTATATATTATTATTAATTCAATTGGCGATAATTTTTTTTTTTAATGTATGCGCCAATTGAATTGATATGTGTTTTAAGTTGTCAATTCTTTTATTTAAAACATGGATATTTTAGACATTAATAAAAAATTGATTATTTGAATAATTTTTTAGAAAAACTTGATTATTTTAATATTAAAAAATTGAGAATTCATCATACCTTTTGACAAATATAGTCTAGTGGAGTATTGTCTATTGATTTTGTCTATATAGTTTTTCTTTTTTGGCTTGGCGTGAAGGGGAAGCAACGATTGAATTATGTACAAAAGGATATTGGTGTTTCTCTCTTGCAGCCACATGTTTACTTTTGGTGTGCGGACTAATTTCGCGTTAATTTTTTTCCTTTATCTGTATTTAGAACATTATTCCATGGTTGGAGAGTAGATGCATTCTAGAAGGGAGAGAATCTAACCATATATGCAAAAAAAAAAGTTCTCATAAATATATAAATATGCGTTACTAATTTTTTTTTAGAATAAATTAAAATTGAGGTATTTTCTGTACGCAATTGTAGAAACTAATCATTTAAATCATATAAAATTATATAGATAATCAGATTCTCTCTTAAAAAATTTAACAATGTTGCATATTCAGAATAGAGATCAAATTCAAAACATCTATCTAAGCTAAATGAGATACGCGTTACAAATTTTACATAGAATAAATATATAATTATTACATATTAGCTTAAACGAATTAGGTTTCACAACTATTATAGTTTTTTTATTTATTTTATAT